ATTTATTCCACATCTGTCATTCCTTCATTAACATCTTTTAGACATAGTCTATCCATAGAAGCAGACATCATTACTGACAGCATTGATATTATTGTAGTTAGTAATTTCTGGCTCCATTCTTCAAAAATCTACTTTAATATTTCTGATGTTATAATGTCTTGTGTCATTCTGTAAGTCTCAATATTAACTGACATCAGGAACAGGCATATATATATATATTTTCTTCTGCTTAAAATCTTTATTCCCCTCTAGCGTCCAGTTTCTAAAATCATCACTTATCTTTGTTATGGCTTACAATAACCAAGGTAGCCAAAATAAGTCTGTTTCCCAGGAGAAGCTGTTTATTTTTTTTATAATTAATTCCAAAATCTTATAGTAAAAGTCAATATTCCAAATTTATATGGACCCTTAATCTGTTTATAACTTTCTTAGATCTAAATCTTATTTAGCTTTTTGCTGTTTATTTCAAATTCTTTAAGTTAAGTTTATAATTAATTTTTCTTTTATTCAGAGTTGCAGATAAACTCACATGATGAAGACTTTTCAAACTTGTCATTCCAAAGGTGTCTATTAGCTTTAAGATGGTTAATAGGCAATTTCCAAAAGTGATTAGAAAGTGAGATTTGCTAACTTAGTGTCCTTTAAAAGGCTTTGCTGTGGTTGTGAGCAAGATGGCTGGTCCCATCATCTCCTGGTGCTCAAACATATGAAAAGCTACTGTCCTGTGGTCTCTTCATGAGAAGCAGCCATCTGGAGCACATGTGGTGATCTTCCATCCTCTCCTTATCCAGAGAGGTTCCAAGGAACTGGTTTACTCACCGGTTCCTTGGTCTTTGCTGCAGTTGTTGGCTCTGCTTTTGTGGCACCATCTTCAATTCGCCATATCTCACCTAGAAGTCTATGTTCATTTTATAGACACCTTCTTGGAAGAAAAAGACAGAGCTTAGACAATAATCCAAATATTGAATATTTTCTATTTGCATCCATTGCTTTGTCAAATCTTCCAGAATGAATGGAATGATATAGCCTAGTTGTGTTGTTGATAATACAGTTTCAAGGATGATATTCCCCATTCTTCTGTAGTCTGTGATGCATCTGAATTATTTCTGTTCTTGATTTTGATGTTTTACAACAAACGGCTTCATTATTTCTCTGCCAAAATGTTTTTGTCTTCATCCAAGATAGCCATTGGATTGCTATGGAATAAAAAGGTCAGATTAGAAAGAGATTTAAAATGATGCAATCTGGCCTAAAACACTGATACAGTTTATTCTATTGTATCATATCCTGTGATTATTCCCCTTCCCCATTTTTTTCTCTATCATTAACATTAAATAATTTTAAGGTTTTTTGGTTTATGTCTATTTACTAAAAATATTTTTATATTAGAGACAATTCTAACATGCTTGATGATATTATTATTTTGGTTATGGATGCAAATTAATTGAGATGTTTTTATAATAAATTGATAGGCCTGATATTATAGTAAAATTTCCAAGCTGTTTTTAAATACGTTTAGCTGAATTTACTGGATTTGAAATAATAAGGACCTTATCATCTGTAACATACATTAAATACATAGTTTTTTGCTCTCTATATTCACTCCTTGGATGTGGCTGTTCATCTGTAATGCTATTGCAAATGTTTCTGTAATTCACTTAAAGAAAATGGGGAATAATGGCCATCCTTGTTAGTGCTTCTTAAAACTGGAAATTCCAAAGAATTGTCATTATTAGTTCTTATTAGTGTTCTTTGCCTTATTGAGGCATGTTGTGTTGCCTTTACAGCCTGAAGTACCTTGTTGAGCTAAATGCTTCCTTGCACAGATCTAATAAAAATTGTTTTCTTGAACTTATGTTCTTGATTACTTCCCCCTCCCCCCACAATGCTACTCTATAGCTAATATTAAAAAGTTATTTCAGGTTGTTTGGTAAGTATATATCTAGATACTTAAAAACTCTCTGTACTAGAGATAGTTCTAATGTGCTAGATGATATTCTCTGGGCATGGAATCTGAGGTAGCTCAGGAGTTCATGGCCCCCTTGGCAACCTTGGACCATGGCAACTTATTCAAGGCCCAACTCACATGGGGAGTCACACATTGGATCTGGTTTTTGTCTTGGGGCAGTGGTGTCATGATCTAGAGTTGGAGGATGTTAACATTAGTTCCTTGGCATGGGCAGATCATTCCCCCTTGGCCCTAGAGTTCTCCTCAGCCATCCCTTACTGCAGGAAGGCAGAGCCTATTTGATTGGCCTGCCCCAGGTGACTAATGGACCCAGTATGGTTTCAGAGGGAGCTTGGGGTGTCTCTCAAAAATCTGGCACATGGTTTGGTGGAGGACCTTGTCATGGCTTGGAATGAGCACATGCCAGGGCCCTAGACTGGATCAGACCTGTGTGGGCTATCTGTACACATGGTTTCCTGATTATTTTATGAAAAATCTGAAGTCTTGAAATTTTACATTTGCATAATTGTTTTTTAAGCTTGAGTTTTTGTATTTTTTCAAATGTTGACTGAATTTACAATAAATAAAAAGGATATTACTTGCAGTATTTTATAAATTGTTACTTTTTCAAACTCTTCTTTACCATCCTCAAAATAATTTCATTTTCTATTCATCAGAGGCATTCCACAATTTATCCAAAGATAAGGGAAGAATCTGCTTTACTGAAGATGAGGTGAGTGGAACTTTTTTTTTTTTTCTGCTTTGGGTCTTGTTTTTATCTTTGGGAATAAATGGCTTTTTTCCTCAGATAAGACTATTTTCTGAAAGACCAAAAATCAGAAAAGCTCAACTGAAATTAATATTTACAATAAACTTTCAATATGCATTTCTGTGTATGTGTGTGTTTGTGCCTGGTGATATAGGATTTTGGTATTTTGTTAATTTGGAAAATGAAATATTCATAATTTCTACACTCTATAAGAGTGTAATACTACAGCAGACATTTTACTCGTTGAACAGCTGTAGGAAGTAGTATCTTTCTGTGTTGACAGGGAAAGAGTTCTGATGGCAGAATGCCCCTGTTTCTAATACACCCATGGAAAGCCGGTAACATTGGGGGAATGAAACAGGGCGTTCTGGATTCAGACAGGGACACACCATCTCCTAAACTTTTCTGTTGCTTTGAAAGAGCTTCAGAGAAGACTCAAAACTGGTGAGGCAGTTAATTCATCCATCTCCCACCATGGTTGCAGCAAGCTGGTGAAGTTTAGAAGTAGTAAAATTTCCACTGTTGCTACCATGGAATTGTTGGGCCAGTGAGGGAGTCTGAACATTTTTTTTTCCTTCTTCAATTCTCATTATGGTATTCTTAAAGTTTATCTGATCAAAAACTTAATACTATCAAGTAGTTCTAGATGTGAACTAGATGTCCAAACTTCCACTAGATGTGATAACGTCAATTAACAGGATTCCATAGCCTACATTTATTTATTTAAATTATTTATGAAATTTATATGCTGCCACATATTTATATGACTCTGGGATGTTGGCCTTTGCTGAAAAGTTTGGGAGTTGAAGTCCACAAAACTTCAAGAGATCTGAAATTGAGGGCGTGTCCTCCAATATAATTAACATTTAGAACCTAGACTGGAGTATCCCAAATTATTTCCCAACAGGCAAAAATATTCCTAGATATTTTTACACATTTATGCTCTAGCAATAATATTGATTATTATGAATTGTTTTAATATAAACAGGTAACTCATTAAAGAGGTGACCATGAAAACCAAAAAAATGCCCAGATTCATCCAAATCAAAGTATGAGATAAATAACCTATTTATTGATCAACATTTTGCAGACTCCTCAAGGTGTTCTAGAAAAACATTTCAGCACATTGTTTCTCACTCCCTCTCTCTCTGTTTTGTTGTCATTTTTAAATGTCATTTCAGCAATATTTTTCCATAGCATTTTCAGGGAACTCAGTGATAGATCACTTGTTCTTTATGTAGAAAGTCCTAGATTTAGTTCCTGACATTTAAGTTTAAGGTAATAGGCTGGGGGCGCAAACATCAGTTTTGCTTTCCAAACAAGCTGTGAGATTTGCCCCGTTCGACAGAGAAACTCTCGTGACACGTGTGGTTCACAAA